GAGAGAGAGAGAGAGAGAGAGAGAGAGAGAGAGAGAGAGAGAGAGAGAGAGAGAGAGAGAGAGAGAGAGAGAGAGACCGATTCGGGGAGGACTCCCAGGATTCCCAGGGGAAGGCCGAGTATCGATTCCGAGTATCGATTACAGTTTTTTTTAATCGCGTCGATTAAGTCACACTCAATCTGCCGCGATCGCGCGATAATTCCGGCTTAGTGTACAACTCGTGACTATGATACTGTATTACTATAATCGTGACTATAATTACTTTCAACTGTAATGGCCTTGGCTCCTCCTAGGCAAGAGACGCGATGCGTCTCGAATACAGAATCGAAAAGTTGGATCAGAAGCTAAAGTCAGAATTTAGCAAAGGCGGAAACGCATGATAACGCGATACAAAAATTGTCTAAAAAAATAAAACGTTCTAACACGATGGAAACGATTATTTCTATCGCGATAACCGTGATCTTGAATGTTAACTTGAATGATAACGCCGCTAGCTGAGGAGAAAACCTCGGGAGAAAAGTCGAAGGGAGAGAAAAAGGATTTACGAGGATTCCGTTTGGCCTGTCGCTCCTTCGTCTCCTCGCCGGAACTTACGTAAAACGTTTTCTTCCGCGCGCGATTTTCCGTTAAGCCGCACCGCCGACGGTGTGGCCGCACGACGCGACGTTATTGATTTCGCCGTTGCCGGACACACATCGGATCGACCTAGGAATTTTGCCGCAAACCATCACCGCCGTCGTCGCCGTGCAATTACATAACCGCCTAAGGATAGACATGCAGTTCGCTCTGATACGCGGAATTTCAATCGCGTTTTCCTTAATCGGTCATTCAGAGAATCCACCGATTTTTTTTTTTACAATTACGATAACGCCGTAATTTCTATGCGCCGTGTACGCCGCTAATTAATGCGCGCGACATTGCTGACTATTTTACTTAAGACCGATCGTCAACGACGATACATCGTTGAGAAACGCTCATTGACATTCCTGTAGCATTACTGGTTAAACGTTGTAATTGCTTCTTTTTTCTCAATTTGTGGCTAGAACGTGGACATATCTCTTCTTGCCGTAATTACTCGTATTCGTCTCGAATCCATAAATCATGCGGCATCTATAAAATATTCACTCGTAATTCACTCGTATTTCTAAGAAATAAACACCGACACGGTTTAAATTTGCATTGATGTTCTGACAAATATCGCGCCCAGATATTCATCTTAATTATGTGCGCGAGCTTATGAATAATGTAATTATAAAAAGTGTTGACATATGTCGCTAACGTTCTGACGTAAAGATAGCACGATGTAAAAACTTTCATAAAAGCGTTTCCAATCGGTGCAAATGCCCTCTCGAGAACTTTGCAAAAACGAGAAATACCATCCCATCCAGATGTTTACCCTTTAATTGGACATAATTACATGTTTATCGTGTAATTGCGGGAAGATAATCAACCGTGTCTAATTCACTTAGCCTTTTTTTTATCGCGTTCGAAATATACGCGTGCAAAAATGTACAACGATTGTTATCGATGATACTCCGCAAGAAAATGTCATACAAAAGCGAATCGCACTTTTTTATGAATTTTCTCGATAACAAAGCCGAGCGTGTCGCGTTGCAGATTTTTCACGATTCAAATGCAAAGCATCCTCCTGCCGCGGCGGGATGCGTCTTGGCATCCTCGTCGCGAACGCCAGGAAATTCGCCTGCACGGCTGTCGAACTTTACGTAACGTAAAATTCGTTCCGTCGACCGCACGCAATCGCGCGCGGTAAATCATCCCACCGGATGTGAATGTTGCGCCGTAGTTTGATTAACGTCTCGGTCGTTACGACGCGGCATAATTTAGACGGGCACGACGCTGATTGTAAAACGTTGCGCTTTAGGATAACAATCGAACGGGAAGTACGTTTTCTCCCTCGGAAATCGCGATCCCTCGCTACCCGCATTCGATGCGAGCGCAAACTCTACTACTTTTCTCCTGTTCTTCTTCTTGATACTTCCATATCGATCCGTGCCCGTTCCGTCGTGTCGGTTTCCCCGGTGTCGGCTCGTCGTAATAATTCTCGTCGCAGACGAGAACGATATATCGGGCCGAATCGGGTAATTCTTGACTTGACGGATTACGGAGGAAGCCATAAACGCGTAATGTAAATAAAAATGGCTCGGTTTCCCGCGACAATCGCGCCGAGCTGTGACAATTAGCGCGGATGCACTTTGCGTGATTTTGTGGTCACGGCGGTTTTGCCACGCTCATCTTCTTCATGTATCGCGAAAGATACGAATCTCCTCTCCTCGTATCCTCGCGTTTTGCGTACAGACGTCCAAGAAAGGATTAATATCGATAGAAAGTGAAATGGGAAGAGAGGAAAGGTTTTTTTTTTTTCGGATTTAAATTCGGATCGAGAGATCAGATTGATCGGATAAAAGGACGCGGAGAAAAGGAGGCACTCGGTTACTTCGGGTAATTCCGAAGCCGTGAGAAATAAAAAGGGATTCGCGTGCGGATCTTCGTGAATCTTCGCGGAGAAAACTACACGAGAACCTCGCGATGCGAAGTCGCGCATCGCTCGCCGACATCGGCACAACCCTGAGAACGTGACCTGACCTCAGGGAGGAGGGACGTTGGCTCTTTTTCTCTCTCTCTCTCTCTCTCTCTCTCTCTCTCTCTCGCTCTCTCTCGTTCTCGAGCCAGACTCCACTCAGACGGCATGCCAGACCAGGCGGCATCTCCCATGCGCCTTCCATAAATATTGCACAAGGCAACCCGACAACAACCGAATCGGAAAGCGATATTTTGGGGAAGTGATCTTGAAAGTTGTCAATTTTAACAAAGCTGAAGGCAAAAATCTAGCCTCTATTAGGGACAAGCGATCCAATGTGATTCGAATCATCGTGGTCCAGTTCTTTGATTAAATGCCAAGGCAAACTTCGTCGTTGCAACTTTCTCGATTCATATCAAGGTTAGATTCGAGAATCATTTTTTCTCACTCGTAATTATCTATATTATTTTCTCGTACACGTTTTCCGACAGAAAGAAGCGGCTACAACTGCGTGCGAGATCGATATCAGGTCTTTGCACATCGCTGAATGCCGAAGAATAACTCGGCTTATCGCACGCTAAACTGATGGCGAGATCTTGGAACGTACTTTTTAGAGTCGAAGTTGAAGAGAAGGGTCGAGGGGTCTGGGCGAGCGGTTCGATAATATCGGACTTGGCAACTTGCTGGACACTAATCCATCGATTCGTCCTTGTGATTTCTCACAATTCTTCTCTTTCTGTGATTTCTCTCGCGGATTATTACGCATTTGCGGTGCTCTCGTCTTATGCAACTCGTTTTTCCAATGCGATTTTGACCACAGGCGTCAGCGCGTCTGTTGCTCTCGTTTTTCGCTCATTGATTAGATTTCCAGTCGTCGAGCCGCCTTCTCGAACTCTTTGGCGCCCCCCGTCTTCGAGAAACGGAGACTTCGGAGACTTTTTAAATGGAAATCCTTGTCTCCTTTTTTTGTTTGCAATTATTGTCTCACGATATTAAATTGCGTGTTTTATCTCTCACGTGATTCGTTTGAAAATCAAAGCAGCTGAGATTCCCAAGGGTGAAACTCGCTCAGAGCGAGTTTTCTCAATCTCTTTAACCGCGAGATTTTCGATCGCTTATTTTGCGAACTCTATCGAAAAATTTCCGCCAAATTCTTCTCAAAACTGTTGTTACATTCGCCTTTGTGTTATTTCGAAATTCAGCTGTCTCTGACGCGACAGGTCTATCAGGATAAACAGACTGATAGACAGACGTTATTTCTTTCCCTATACTCTTTTGAATAACCTCATTCAAACAACTTTCTATCGTTGAGACGTTTTTACAAAATTTTCACGTCATGCTCGTGACCATACTTGGATTTCGATCAGCCCCCTGCACGCACATTGTACTTTTCGGCTACTGTGCGATGTGGCAACGTTTCGAGATTGATGTCGTATCGATTACATGAGATGTTTCACACGTGTGAGAAACGCTCGATCAGTGTAACAACACTGTATAAGTAATCCCAAGGTTGTCCAGTTGGTCGGATGCCTCCTTGTGCAATCAAGGTTGGATCCATGGATTGGTCTCCATGGAGTCACTAATTCGATCCTATTGAATCGCTCGCCTAAATGCCAGCTCACAATTCTATAATGTCCTCCTCTTATTTCTTTTCAATTCTCTAAGACATGATCTTCACATAACAAGATCTCACCGCCAACGTGTAACAACAATCGAAAAGGAGGAAAGAAAGCAAAGGGCGAAAAGCGATGGCATTATATCTCAAACTTACGGAGATACTCATTGAAAAAATTAAATTATGATGTTAAATTGGAGTCAGAATCATCAAGCAGATCATTTTTAAATCTGTTTTGATAATCAAAGGAACTTGAAACTTTAAACTTAAGTTGTTATTTAATAAGGTATCTCATATATATATAAAATATGTTCTTTTTTATCTTCTTCATTACAATTCTCATTATTCTCATTATTCTTTTACATTATGAATAATAAGAAATTCCGAATTAGCTATCGAAATATATTTATTCGATTTTTTTCTTATAAGAAAAAAGGACAAGTGCAAGATTAAAACTTAATAAAGCTTAATAAAATTTAGAAGTTAAAATCCACATTAGTATCTACGATAATTCACATTTTTATTTTTTTTATTGGAGATTGATGAATCATCGTTCATCAGTGAAAAATTCCGTCTCGATGGAATGCACTGCCTGGATTTAAATGGCTAGCAGAAATTTAAAAATAGATACTTTCGTCGATCGACAAAACGAATCGCTATTATCAGCATCATTTCAAGTATATACGTCATCTCTTATCTGCCGCAGGTTTTTCCCCTATTTATTTGCAAATGCACAATGCGATGCTCACGTGTCATTTTATAAGTTGGCCGATCTTTGGCCGATCTCACTCTCGACGTCTCAGAGTCGTCGAAATTCAAGTGCGAAAGAATGAATCCCCAAAATTGACCGATATCTCGTTAATAAATCGCGGTATTGACGTCAGAGCATTATTAAAAAATACCGAGAGATGCACTTGATTTCCGAGGTGATTCGCGGCCGGGAATTTTTCTAGATCGATTGTCAGCTCGAATCGCACTCTGCGTATCATCACATTGCGTTCTCCAATTGCACCATCAAGACACAGACAATACAGTTCAACGATCCGTGCGGCTGCCAAGAGGTGCGGTTCATCACTGTCAAACCGTGATAACAAATGCGTGTGTCGTCCGCAATAGAATAATGTTTCGTTTGGATTAAACTTAGGTCAAACTGAGTGGTCCGACTAGTCATATAGTATCTATAGTAACATTGCTTTTGAACAATGTTTGTGTCGAGGATACGAGGAGCTGGTCCAACGGTTTTGGCACACACAGTAGCGAATTTGATTAATCTCATGCAGGGCGAGCCACGTAATGGTGACAAAGTCGACATTCATAAATACTTCGGAATTCGCATAGAGGCCAGAGATGAATTGAGATACACGTCTATTGTAATTCTACT